CTGAATGGCTGAATGTTTCACTTTTGACATGTATATTTGCGGCGAGTACCAGAAATGATTTCTAGTTAACGTGAATCGCGGTGGGAACTGACTCCCGCGAACGGGAGAATTTGGGGGTCCGGGACTGGCACAGCTATCCTTCGTCGCCTAGATTCGTATCGACTGAAGAGCCAAGACCTTGTTCGGTGGCTTGGCTACGCGTCCGAGATCTCATCTACAGTCTACCAGCGGCCGAACGGTGCCACTTGACCAGCTCCCTCCAAGCGCTGCAGTGAACAGTTTTCTATCTCGCAGCGGGGACGTCGGCGACCGATTGAAATCGTGGTTTGAACATGCAACCGTTTGAATTTTTGAACTGAGCTTGAGACACCACCGGCCGCGGCTAAAGCGACAATCTTGGTTCAATACCAGGGCACAAAGTTCAAGTTAAAATGATAAACTTCAACACGACTCCCGGTCATACTCATTGTCTAGCGTGCACAGCAGGATATGGTCTGTTTTATGAATGTCCGTTTTATGAACGATGATGTATGTATAGTTCTCAACTACGATGGTTATAATCCTGAAGGCTGATACAGAGGTGGTAGCTCCTCGGGATGACTGAAACGTACACCGCCGTCGATGCGCACCCGCGGAGAGGAGATCGGTGTTGCGCGTGTGACGGGAGAGTTCAGAACACGGTTCGCTGTACCTAGTGGAAGGGCGTCTTGGAAGGTTGTGAAACTGGTGTTTCGAACTCCCAAATCTACAAGGTTGGCGATATTTATCAACGGTTGGACACGCAGGTGCTAAAATTGTATTACTAGTGAATCACCGAGCAAGGCTGCGCTTACAATATCGGAGGCTGAGTGAATTGATTTCGTGAGCGAAATGGCCGGTCTTGTAAAGGGAGAAAAACTCACAGCCTGGGACCACGGGCGCGTTATTGTTGTGCATTGCGGGACAATCGTCTCTTGGGGAAGGACGTTGAGGGCTCCCGCGCGGACGAACTGGAGCCTGGCTGAGGGAAGGAGCAAGAATGCCAGTCCCAGTGTACAGCGCATAGGTCGCGAGGAACAAAGGTGAAGTGCATGAAGGAAATGTGCTCGCGCGCCAGCCACGCAGTCGTCGCAGTTAAAGGCGGCGTGAGCAGGATGAGCTGCCGTAAATAACGCGCAGGAAGTTTGAAATGAGAGTCGCGTCAGTGTATCAGCCTGCGGCTGCAACTCATGCAAGACAGATATCGTGGAACCGTTCGGGGGCATATGCACCGTGGGCAGTCGTTGATGATACGGATAACCAGAAACGGACAGCCAGACGTAAAACGGATACCCTCTCCCGCTAATCTTGTATGAACGTTGGCGTTGGCGTTGAAGTTGGGATTGTTGTTGATCCCAACATGCGTTTGAGTACTTTACCGACACTGCGACAATGAATTGGGCCTGAGATGAATGATCCAGGGTTATTTGGATGATATCGAGCTGATAGAGCTGCCCGGGTGGGTGAGCCAAGCCAAAGCAAGCGGTGTTTTGAGAGGTGACCTCCAAGTACTTCATTTGCTCGAGTGTATATCTTCACAAACACGCCCTCGAGCTTTGGAATGCGATACCCGTCTGCCCAGAGAAACTCGCCTACGCATCGTCGCGGACTTCGAGGACCAAATGAACGGGAAAAGACAAGGTCCAAGCGGGAAAGTAAAGAGATTCAATTTAAAATCGTGCGAGAGCAGACCGATATGAGTAGATCTTGCAGGATAGCAGATGATCAGCGACACACCCAAAACAAAGACATGAATTCGTCTCGCGGAGAATCAAGATGCAGCCTGTTGCTGCTGCTGCTGCAGTTTCGCCTGCATTATATTGACTACAGAGTTCACGTTGTCCCGCTTTTTGCTTATCGTGTCCTCGAGCGTCTCCAGATTGGTTCGGATGTAATCGACTTTGGCCGAGTAATGCTTTACAGCTTGTTGTCGCGTCTTGCGAGTCGCGATAAGTTAGTGCAGGGAGTACAAAGAGAACATATACATACCTTTTGTACAAAATAACCAGTCCCGACATCCACGATGACATGATCTGGGTCCGACAGCTTCCCAGGGACGTATAGAGAATTCGTTAAAGGCACAAGGATGGTTTTGCCTCATCGAACTCCGGGTCAGTCCCCCGAAGATTAAGGACAGCCGAGCCCACCTTTATTGGTCGGTTTTATCTCGGTCACGTTCTCGATACAGTTCTTGAATTTCGCCTGGGCTTGTTTTAGCTGGGCGAAGGAGTTTGTAAGGTGATTCAATTCCTGAGGTCAGAAACGCGATCAGATGGGTCTAAGGCCGCCCAGAGCTTCCATGGCATCACCTCTTCGAGCTGCCTGCGGACGTCGGCGAGCTGGGGGAGGTCCAAGTCGGTAATGCTGACTTGCTGCGGCTGCGACATGGCGGTCGGCTCGTCACGCTGGTCACACCGTGACTCGGCTCTTGTGCTCCGCTCTCTGCTCCTCTGCGCTCGTTTTCGCCCATGTCTTCCCTGGACTCCAAGGGACGGTATCCCCAGGATATCGTTGCCATATTTCACGCATCTTTTCACCCCACGTATGCCCAATTTTTTATGGTTCCGGATATTGTGCTGACTGTTCCCTGCGCAGACAGGGAAATATAATTGACTGGTCGTTGAAAGCAAACGATGGTGCGAGAGGGACACGTACACCGATATTCAGTCGCTGACTATGCGAATCAGACCTAAGCCTCGAACACCTGGAATTTAGCGCCCTTCCGAGTGGACTGCACCTCGTCGAGGAAGATGTCGTGTGCGTTTTGCTTTGCTTTCCCCCGAGATGTGTGCCCCGTACTACGGATGCATGGGTAGCGGACCCCCGATGTTATTTCGTTAATGCGCAGCCCTGAAGTGCGACACGGACAAATTGGGGACACGATGCCTATCTTCTGGGATACCTTGTTTCACTGCTCCGACGCTAACTTTTCCCCAGTTACTTCACCAAGGACGGCCAGCACGGTGTCTGCGTCTTTCGGCGCCGAAAAACCGTCGACCACGGACACAGAGGGTTCCGACTCTCGTCCCTGGGGATCCTCCTGGCCAAATCCGCCCGCCCTCGGCCGTGGAGACACACCGCTGCGCTCAAGAAGCTCACCACCCTCATCTACTCGCGCTTCGAAAGCTCCGCGTCGCTGGTTCCCATCGACACCGATTGGGACCCCGCGCGTGCGTTCTTCAATGAGCGTAAAGTCGTGCGCGCTGATCTGGGAGGGGCGGGAGATTGGAACGGGTGGAGCCACGAGCTTCTGGAGCGGGTAGATTGCCTTTCGTTACACGCCGCTCCTTACTGACGCTGCAGCAGATCGACGACGACGTGACGGAGCAGAACCCGACGCTGCATCTGCCCCATCTGCTGCGGATCCTTGGTCCGTCCTCGTTGACGCTCTACAAGCACGTCGTAGGGCGACGACGCATTCTGATCTACACCTTACCCCCGGTTGAGGCAGCGTCGATCCTCTGCCAGGTCGCCGCAGATATGTGCTACGAGCAACAGGTCGAATACACCACGTCCCTGGGCTCGCCCTCATCGCGTCTGCGTGGCAAGTGCACGGAAGGCATCAGCGTCCTCGGGATGGTGACCCTCAACGACTTTGATCGGATGCAGCGCGAAGGCGAAAGCGGGCGCGGCTGGGTGGCTTGTGCGTTCCTCGTCTCCGTCTTTCATCTCTCGCTGACACTGTGCAGGCACAACTGATGCTCTTTTCTTGGAAAAGCCCGCATGCTACGACCTGCTCATCGATCTGACTACCTCGACGCCGAACAAGGCGACGAGGCCGACTTTTTACGCCTCACGCCCGGTGCAACCCACGTCGTCTGGGATACCCAGAGGACCCACGCATCGTCTGTCCGTCGTCCGTTTCGCGTGGAGCGACATCAAGCTGGTGAGCAGCTACGCGTACACTACCTCATCGTACAATTCTCATCACCGTCCAGTGGAACGAGCTCAACCGCATCCTGCAACTCGATTCCTCATCCGCGCACGACCACTCCTGCTGCACCCTCGCCTCGCTCTCGCAAGACCCCACGGCCAAGGCGTCCTCCAACCCCGTCACGGCGTGGACGGACGCGTGGCGCGTCTACGAGGACGTGTGCGTCATCTGCGCGGGGCTCTGGATGGGCTCGTGGCGCGGCAACTCGATCATGTCGTACTCCACCGCGGACGGCGCGGCGAACTGGGGCAGCGTGCGGCTCGAGGGCGACGAGGACCTCAGTCTGCGTGCGCTCAGCGCTGAGGCGGCGTCGAGCCCCGGCGGGCATGTGCGCAGCGTGGGGATGGGCATCGAGGGCGGGCCGAAGGTCGGGAGCAGCCTCGCGCGGACGTCGACCAAATCGACGAGAAGAGCGAGCGGGATGTCGTGGTCCAGTGGGAAGGCGACCGTCAACAACCCGCCGGCGTCGCCTGTCGCGGGAAGCGCCAATGGTAAGGGCAAAGGCGTCGCGGCCGCCCCGCCCGTGCTGGACGAAGATGAGACGGAGGAGACGTACGACACGGCGCGGCGGGACGGGCAGATCCTGACGACGCTGTCGCTCCTGCAGACCCTGCACGCGCACACCGCGTTCCAGCTATCGACGCTCGAGTCCTTCCTCCCCACCGACATGGCGCACAACCGGGTCATCGCGCTCACGTCCAAGGACATGCCGGCGTTTGAGCTCGGGCCCATGAGCGGGCTGGATGCAAGGTACTTGGAGTGGTTGGCACTCGAGTATGGTGGAGGCGCGACGGTGGTGCTGAAGCGGGGGTGGAAGGAGATGCTTGGGGCGATCTTTGGCTATGGGTAGAGGATGCGGCGCCGGCCGACCTCGCTCCTATTGTATTTATCCCTAATGTATCCACACTGCATCGATATACCCCTTTCATCTTGGAAATATTGACCCACGCCGCCTAATAGCTCATTGACTTACAGCTGAGGGAGGCTGAGCATGGACTTGGAGTGTGGTGACACAGCCAAGAGTCCAAGAATAAGACTTGGTTTTATGTCCGGTATGGTGTATCGGTTAACATATGTGCTTTTCAGCTGTACCTGTCTGTCGCACGTGCGCGGGGTTCGACTCCCCGTACCGGAATGTACTTTTGGACTTTTGTTCTCTGCTTCCCCTTGTGGTCTCTCATGTCTTTTCCTCCATTCTTCGCGCCTGAAAGGATCAACGAAAAGCTCGAAATGCTGCTAATTAAATTTGGACCGCAAGTATGAATTAAGGCATATGCACCAGCCCTTGAAGGGTGCCCGGCACATAAGCTCAAGCTCAAGGCTCAGGTGCCCCCAAAAAGATGACCAATGTGAAAAATAATAAGCTACCCAGCGGAAACAACCGTTTAGAGCCCCTTGCCCCCTGTCAAAGGCATCAGTACCAACACGAAGAACGAACTAGCACTCACGGAGCCCGATGTCCAATTCATCATTCCTCTTCTTCAAACAACACCGGGATCGATAAAAATGCTGCACGATACGAGCGCATTCGTACCAATCTGTCACCGGTGATATACAATTTTTGAAGCGCACAGCCAGATTTCGATATAAACGATGTCAGGTCGGGTGCAATGGATAGCTCTTGAATTTCTAGACTGCGAAGGGCCGGGGCAACAAAGGCCCTCAGGCGGAATCTGGTGAGCCGCGCCTTATATGCCAAGTTCAACTCCGATGACTCCAAGCACGGAAACTCGATATCTGGGCCGTGATACGTGCTATCATCAGGAGTATGTGATTTCAGGATACAGTTCAAGTGCACGAGGTTGGGTGTCCACGGCAGGACTTGATAGAATTGGTGAGGTAGAACATCTAGTGTGAGCGATGTCAACTGCGCCCACGGTAATACGATCTTGGCAATGGTCATCCAGTGGAAGGCCCAGAGAGCGACGGTGCGGAGCAGCGGCGCATCGTGAAAAGCATCAATGGGGGAATCGGGGTCCGCGGTCAGAGGCTGCGGAGCACAGGCAGCGGACCATGAAAGGCTGCCAACTGCGAGGGCTGTACATCGAGTTCTGCGTACTCCCAGCGCTCGCGGTGCGAGAGAACCAACGCAATGGCATCGGGGACGGATGCGGGCCCTGGACTGTCGTTTATCTCGATTGAAAGGGGGCAATGTTGGGACCGGGTGAGTCACATATCAAGCTTTTTAAGGACTGGACCACCGTCGGGCGGAAATCTAATCGCCCTCCAGAGTGTCGGGGTGGCGAGTGCCAGTTCTCGCCAGTCGTGACAGATCTGAGTGAGACGTGTGGGTGGCAGATAAGAGTCCGCAAGCCACGAGCAGCTGGGATAGACGGGTAGGCACTGGATGAAGATTTCGGAAATGATGTCGGTTGGTAGCGTCAGGACGGGGTATGTGTAGGAGTTGAGTCGTTCCTGTGCGAGCGCCAGTTCGCTTTGCAATGCGGACAGAGAACGCTCTAGAGACAAAATATGTGGCTCCAGATCTGCGACGAGCACGATCCGCTTGGAGGGAAGCAAGCATCGTCTTTGTCGTATTCTGGATGAGGATAATCGCATAATTGTATCGGAGCGTAACACTCACTTTGGTTGTTGTTCCAAATCTCAATGAGAACCAGCGGTTTCAATTTCAGTGGGTGGGCGTCGGGCGAGCCCGAAAAGCGGAGTCACAGACTGAGTGGGCTACGAGAACACTTCAATTCAGCGCTGGGCCTCCGTGTGTTCTCAGTGTGCGTGTTGAAGAAGGAGCGAAAGCTGCGTGCGTGTGCCTTCCAGATTTGTTGGTTGAGTGTGGCGGATGAGAAGTTGATGAGAAGATAAGTAAGACGCATCAGTGGCTGTGCGGCCTTACGTGGACTCGGAGTTGCAATAAGTTGCTTCCAAGTTCCGCCCAACTGTCAACGTCTGCTCAAACGAAACACGCCGGGCTCCGCACGCAGAGCGGGTCTACGTGTGACCGGACTCCTTCCTGTGTTCAAACGTTGCATCGTCTCTCTTTGCGCCGCCATCGGCCTTTTCTGCACCGGCGCTGGTAAAAAAGAAAGGTCTAAGTCGAGCGATGCCTCGGGCCTGATTCGAACAGGCCATGTCTGCTGTACTTTGCCGCGAGATACGTTCTCATGCTACGAAGTGTAAATGTGGACCACCCACCACCGAGGCTTTCTCATACTCCTCTCAAGCTTCTAATAAGGCCGCACGTTTGGATTCACCATCCCGCAAAGCCGCACCAATTTTGCTGATCCAGGATTCGCTCTGCGAGTGAAAACTGAAGTTGGACCGTGCTTCACGTTGCAAGGCTAGGCTCTCTCGCTGGTGCGCACACTGCGGCACACAGTCGTAAAAAGAAATTTTCAACTCGACCTATGCCTCGAGCTGATTCGAACAGGCGATGACTGCTTTACTCCAGTTCCGGACTATAGAATGCAGAGGTAGGCCACCCACCACCGAGGCTTTCTCTTCTTTCCCTCAAGCTCGATAAACACTGGACATCCGGACGCACGCCGGGCATGCCCAGTCAAGGTCGCCGCCAGACAAATTCCACTTCGTTCCGCGGGTGAAACATCAGGCTATCAGGCCTTCGCATGCCTCCGGCCTGTATCGAACAGGCCTGCTCAGCGTTCAACGTTATACGCTGCGTCGCAGCAGCCGCACGAAGAGGAAATCCAGATGTCGATCCTCCACCACCAAGGCTTTCCCAAAAACCTCAGGCCTGAAATGTGGCGACTCGGTAGCCAAAAAAAAGGGTCAATGAAGGCGACATGCCTCGGGCCTGATTCGAACAGGCGATTTCTGCACCAATTCACTTGCTGAAGCTTCTACGATCCGCATACATATGTGGACCATCCACCGCCGAGGCTTCTATCGCCGTCCCTTAGGGCTCGGTAAATGCTGCACGTCTGAAACGAGAGCCACGCTGATACAAAATCAACGCATCGGACCTTGGAGAACCTCGCGGGCCGTTGGACAGACGAATTCGAGCGTATTAGAAGCCAGAAGCCTGGTTGAGCGACCGCGTTCTGACAGACTGGCCACTCTGCACGCACACAGCTGCAAAAGAACACCAATTTTCAATGCGAATTGCAAAAAGTCGGGCCAGATTCGAACAGGCGACGTCTGATTAACGTTGTTGCGCCTCCAAGGGGAAATACAACAGATGTGGGCCACCCACCACCAAAGCTTTCTCGTTCTCTCTTCAAGCCCAATAATTGCTGCGGGTTCATCAACTTCTCGTGGGTCACTTGGGAGAGCGTAATCGGAGTGTGGTTTGAGAAGGCGCGGGGCATAAAATGTGATCCAACAACAAACATCGCATCCCTCAGCCCCGATTCGAACAGGCGGCGTCTGCTGTAATCTTTCGACGAATCGTAGATGCGCTATCCACCGAGGCCTTCTCATATGGCCTTCAAGCTGAACAAATGGAGCACGTTTGGAGTCTCAAAAGGAACCTGTGAGCAGTTGCCTCGTCCTGGAACTGATCCATCACCATTTTCTACCACTCGGCATCAGTCTCGGGCATCTCGGGGTTGTTGAAAAGAATAAGCGACGGCTCGGTACAATCAATGTAGAACCCGACGCCGAAAAGAAATAGCAATGTTACGTGTTGGCTCTCCACGCTGTTCGAAAAAACGAACATAGGCCGAAAGCTTAACATGCTCCGGACCTCATGCGAACAGGCAGCAATTTGAGCACTCTACAGAATTGGAAGGCACCTAATCTGTGAACGCCACCGAAGCTTTACTATTGTGATTCAAACTTTGCCGAGTGCGCGCACTCATGTGTCGAAGAGTGTCAGAGTTCATCAACTTGACTGAAACCTCAATCCATCCCCGTGCTCCCCGATTCTCAAACTCAACATCACGAAAGCAAAACGTAACGACCGTGGCCAGGCGAGGGATAAACACTTGGTCTCAGTGATTTGACATCGGGAGGTCCGTACTTAAAGATAAGAATAAGCTCCCGGTCTGTGATAGTAAAAGTACGCCTAGCGGCTCGATAAGATGATCAACATGACATCTTACGCACTGCCGTCAAAGAGGTCGGCACAACAATACATGCCGAAGAGAGAAGGGGACTCACGGTGGCAAGTCCTCCGATGCCCAAGGCCACTGCCTCCTCCGGCTATTCGTCAGTCCCACTATCCACATTAAAGGGACTACATTGGCTCGACATCTGAATCGACGGGAATGCTTCACGATACGAGGGCATCTGTACCAGTCTTTCGTCTATGATCGACACTTCCTGAAGTACACAGCCGGATCTTGATATGAGCGATCTGAGTTTTGCGATAGGGTCGTGCCCGAGGAATGTTTTTGGAATTTGCAGGCGGCAGAGGACCGGGAGGGCGAGATCTTCCAGACAGAACCCAGTAAAGCGGCAGTTGAAACCCATGCCCAATTTACTCCAATGACTTCAAGTATGGGAGCTCGATATCTGGGCCGCGATACGTGCTATCATTGGGAGTATGTCTTGATGACAGAGTGCAGTTCAAGTGCACGAGGTTCGGTGCCTGCTGCAGAACCGGGTAGCATTGGTCGGGCAAAACACGGTCCAGGGTGAGTGACGTCAACTGTGCCCACGGTAATATCATGCTGGCCACCGAAGCATAGTCGTAGTTGAGAGTGACGGTACGCAGTAGAGGTGCATCGCGAAAGGCCATGAATTCGTTGGTATTGCTGCTCAGGGCAAGATTCAGGTGGCGTAGAAGGGGCAGGGGGCCTTTAAACGTGGTTAAATGGACAGGATGTACATGGAGCTTCGCGCGCTCCCAACGATCGCGGTGGGAGAGGACTGCCGCAATGCCATGGGAGACCGATCCATACCCTAGCTTGTCCTTTATATCGATCGACAACGCGCAAGATCGGGACCGGCTGAGCCACAGATCAACCTGTTCAAGGAACGAAGCACGTCTGGAAGGAAATTGCATCGCCCTCCAGAGCCTGGGAGTCGCGAGCGCTACCTCTCGCCAGTCGTGGCAGATATGACTGAGAAGTGTGGGCGGCAATTGGGAGCTCATAAGGTACGAGCAGAGGGGGTAGGCGGGTAGGCAATTAATGAAGATTTCGGACACGAGGTCGGTCGGTAGCGTCAAGACTGGGTATATGTAGGAGTCGAGCCGCTCCTGGACGAAGGCCCGTT